GTTGATTTAAAAAAATATTCGTATCTTATAACACTTAATATACGAAAGAAGTTATAAACTTTCGAAACTTTGAGTCACCATTAAGAAAAACTGATATATTCAATTCATATTATATTGCATATATACTGCATATATACTGCATGAATTGGTGGAGTAAGTCAAAGATAACCCAAAAATTCTAGCTAAAATTCAATATTCAAAATATTATTAATTCTAATTAAAATAATCGAATTTTTGAGTTTTGAGGTTAGAAATATAATAAATATAAATATAATAAATATAAAAAATTTTAATATCAGATATTTTTTCCAGCCAAGATTCTGATAAATAATTTTTTTCTAATAAATAATTTGTATTAATTGACTAGGATCTTTTCTACCAGAACAATTTGTAAAGAAAATTTGTATAAATCATGCAATTCGGGCCAGGTCAATTTTCAAAGTTATCAAGCACGCCGAGTAAACATAATTTGAGATTGGCCACGTCGAATCAATAAATTTCCGTGCGAACGATTTTTGTATCGGGAGAAAAAGGAACTGGATCTTATCTTTTCTGTTTTCGAGAGCTCGCCGGTGACTGACATGGCGCGACCACGTGTTCGTGACGCGTGCCGTTGCAACGAGAGGTACACGACCAACAGCACGGAATCCGCCTGGGGGTGACCGCTCGAGGGCGTTAATGATAATTCATAGTGGCGTAAGTTACACAGGCGATTACACGGCAAAGCGATGATAATGCCCGATGCCAGTGGGCAAATTCGTGCACGCTTCGTGAATTCTCCATAACACAGGCAATAATACTTGGCGTACAATGCAATTTTATCCTTCTATGATATAATAGAGTTTAGATAGAGAAAATTAAAATTTGTTAATTTCGAAGATATTTATCGCGAATTTTATCATTTAATAATAATAATTGTATATATGGAGTCTATTATAAAATACTTAATAATCGAAATATCAGGGAATTAAAGTGAGATAGATTTATAGAGAAATAGAAATAGGTGAATTTATTTATATTTATTCGCAATACTGATTTTTGTGTCAAAAAATTCTAATTTATGGTTAATGATTCAGTTATATTTTTTAATTTATGTATTCTATATAATACATAAAAGATTTTATAGTATTATACATTATGTATTTATTTAATAAAAATATTTGATCTATGAATTTATATAGAATGGGATCGATTTATCGTCAAATTATTATAGAAATATTTAATCAATATCAACTATTTCTAGTTTTCTAACATAATCTACAAGTGAAAATAATAAAAAGAAAATATTATATTAAAATATTTTATAAACATCCAAAATTATAAATATTAAGATCGAAATCGAATATGTATAATCTTAAATTTTATATACTCTTCTTCTGAAACTATATCTATATTCGATCCTAAAAAAACGAAGGAACATTGAATTGAACAAATATAAAATTAATTTTTTTCTATAAGCATCGAAAAAAGAGAATAATCCTCAATCTCGTAATCAATAAAGCAAAAATTTATCTTTATTGAAAAGTCGTGAGCGAGGAATATTCTGACGAATCTTAAATCTATTAAGTTTTATATTGAAATGAGAAATTAAACATTTTAAACAATTCTCACAAAAAAAATTATACAAATGAAATTGAAATCCTATTTCTTTAGCTCAATAAAAAAGAAAAAAAAAAAGTTCACGATGAAAAGATTAGCAAAATACAATTCACGGAAAAGCATCCTATAATTCATATATAATTTAACAATCGATACTCTAGAGTGTTTCCACTTTCTAAAACACTTCTGATACCCACTAAAAACCTTCTTCATTGCTCAAAATCACGAAACCCAACCATCACACGTTCCCTATATTCTCACTTACATAACCTACTTGTTTCTGAAACAGCGCACGATCTTCCGCCTATTTTCCCGGAAATGGCGGGGATCGCCTTTAATCTTCGATTTCCGCGAAGAAGAAAAAAATCGCCAAGCGTGAAAAAACGTTCGAGACATGTTCTGTCGCCAACCTCGACATCTTCATCTTCAGAGGTGAAACACTCTCGTGGAAGATCCGGTAATCGATCGGTTATGGTAATTCGAGCGACCGAGATGGCTTAGAAAAAGATGGCGGGGCGATCGTTGCATTTCCTTGCTTCGAGAAATCACGCTGGCAACGCGAATTCCCGATGTTTACGACACGATTACCCGTGCCAGTTCTGCCCCCGCTTCCCGATTTCCTATCCAGCCTTCGGCGACCGTTCACGTGTCGTTTCCGTGAAAACGTGTGCGGTTCGAACGTCCGAAGTTGTTCGTTCACGGAATGGAAGGTGGATGGAGGATATAGGGAAGGAGATACGAAGTCAGAGAAAGTTTGTGGAGGGTTGACGAGGTTGGCATTCTTCGAGAAATTGAATTTTTTGGATGGAAGGAATTCTATCTAAAGAGAAGAATTGTTATATGGAAAATATTCGTAATTAATTATACGATGTATATTTTTCTTGCAATGGAATGAAATCAATTTGTAGGTAATCTAATTTTATGTAGAAAATATTCTTCAAAAATAATAATTGTCGACTTGTATAATACTTGAACTAATTATTTATTCGTAATATGAAAAAATTTTCACTAAAGGTACAAATATATAATATATGTAAATTAATATTCTTGTGCATTCTTTGCATTAATTCTATTCAAAAATTATTATAAAATCAAACAAATGTTAACACTAGATTTATGGAACCCATCAATTTGACGGGTTTTCGATTTTATGCTTGAAAATTCTGAATATGCAAATATTATTCTTTAAACATTATATATTGGTTTTTAATGATATAATGCAGTAAATGTATATTTCTATTCGTTTTCTTTGGAACATTTATAT